ACAAATTAATTAAAATAAATGTAATTTTAAAATATTTTTTATTTAATTTTTTATAAATATAATTGATAAACATTTTTCCTCAAAAGTTTATTTCCTACTTCCTATATATTTCGCACCAAAAAAAAGAAAGGCATTATATTTGGCATTCTATTTGATAAGGTTCTTGTGGTATCCATTTTCTATTTGGTAAATGAGAAATGATTTTAAGATAATTTTTTTGTTTTTTTTTTTTATAACCAAATGTATCATTTACATGATTAGTTCTTTTTATTCATATGAATTTCATAATATTAAATACATTAACTCATTTAATGATATGTAAAAATTGTATCAAAAAATGATATAAAAAAATTGTTGCTATAACACCACCCTTATAAATTTTCTGTGGTGTCTTTTTCTTTAGGGGAAAGTGTCAAGGCAGTACCACATGTTTTCTTTATAACTGAGGGAGAGGCCACAAAATGGTTCTGACTCCAGACATCACTTGTTAGCTAGGTTAGCATATAATGCTTCTGCATATTCATCATGAGTTTCCCTTCTATCTTCTTAACAATTAGATCTTTCTCTACTTCTTTAGTTATAAATTAGCAGGAAATCACAACATGGAGGCTTTCAACGGAACTGCAGTGGTAAATATGACAGTCAAGAAGCTGGAACCTGTTCTTGTTAATCCCGCCGCTGAGACATTCAAGGGACTGTATTTCCTTTCTAATATTGACCAGACATTTCCTTTTCCCATAGAGATTATCTTTTCCTACGAGGGAAATGGCATGGGAAACGAAAATGCAGCTGATGCTATGAAAGAATCACTGGCTAAGAACTTGGTCCAGTTTTATCCTCTTGCAGGTTCACTTACGTTGGGGTTGGATGGGAAAATGCACGTTCAATGCACAGGAGAAGGTGTGCCGTTTGTTGAGGCTACTTCGGATTGCACGTTGGAAGAGTTGGGTGATATTAGCTACATCGATTCCAAGTTTCGTCAACTCATTCATTATGTAGACGGTGTCGATAGCATACTCAACGTGCCCTTATTGACTGTGCAGGTAATATTTATGAATTATGATTATGATATACTTACCCTATGTGGGTGAATCTATTGCAAATTTTTTTTTTTTTGACAGATTGGTTTGTACTTTCTATGCATCTTGAGAATAATCCCCTTTTTATCCGGCTAATAGCAAACCATCTACACTTGAATTGGAAAATTTATGAAAAATTGCTCATTAGCTTAATTAAACAATCAAACTTTATTGAATAAGGTGGTGTGTTAACCCTCTAACCAATTAAGCTACTAACTCTTTAGCTAGATGTAATCTTATAAAGGTTTAGAGGATCTTGTCAATTTTGTATTTGAACAGTGATTAATGCACTATTTAGTTCAATATACTATTATACCTTTAGATAAATTTCATATTGTCAAATCATGAGAGAGAAGTTAGGTATATAAGTTAACACCCATTATATGTCCCCTTATTGACGTGTTATAAAATTGTGAGGGCTAAGGGGTTGAAGTGAACAATATCAATAATGGACTAAGTCATTATAAATGGTATAAGGGTCACCACGTGTCCTCTTGAATGGTGGTGAAGCAAACTTCAGTGAGGACATTGATGCTGAGTCTTGAAAGGGAAGTGTATGTGACATCCTTGAGTCTTGAAAGGGAGGTGTGTGTGATACCATTGAATCTTGAAAGAGAGTGTCTCTTAAAAGGAAAACGTACGTGACATCCTTGAGTCTTGAAAGGGAGGTGTATGTGACACCATTGAATCTTGAAACACTCATTATCCTAAAATTGAGGTCCGAAGGGCTTAAGTAGAAAGTATTGATAGTGGATTGGGTTATCATACACAACCCACACTATATTTATTAAAAATTATTATTTTTAAATTTGAATTAAAGATTATTATTTTTAAATTTGAATTAAAAAATAAAAAATAAAAAATTACAAATTCTAATAATTAAATTAATAACTGTTATGTATTGTATTAAACTAAAAAATATATCAATCATTTTTCTTTTACACTTTGTTTGAGAATCAGCTTTGTTTAGTACATTGTAAAATATATACGTTCTTAATCAATTTGTCAACTTTTAGATGACAAGATTCAGATGCGGAGGCATTGTACTGGGAATTGCAATGAACCATATCCTTATGGATGGAGAAGCAAGCTTATATTTCCTGAAGTCTTGGGGAAAAATTACCAGAGGCATACACTTATCTGTTGAACCATATCTAGATCGATCCATATTATCTCCAAGGCAGCCTCCTATTCTAGACATTCCACATCCTGAATTCGTGAAATTGGAGACAAAAACGTCCACCCCGTCCTATCAAGAATCTCGAGTCTACCAATCCTTCTGCTTCAAACCTCAAAAACTCCAACAACTTAAGCAATTGGCAAAGGAAAAAGGATCAGTCACCAATCCTACCAGCTTCGAAGTAATATCTGCACTTATGTGGATCATGAGGACCAAGGCTTTAAAGACCGAGCCCCACGTAACAATCAAGCTCCTTACAGCTGTGGATGTTAGAACAAAAATCAAGCCGCCAATGCCTGAGTGTTACTTTGGTAACTGTTATGCAGTGTCATGTGCTGTGTGTAAGGCAGGCGACCTAATCGAAAAACCTTTCTCCTTTGCTGTTAAGATTGTGCAAGAGGCCTTAAGAAAAGTGACGGACGACTACATAAAATCCACAATCGATTACTATGAGGTTACTAGAGATGTGCTCCAGGCTGAGAATACTGCCTGGATCTCCAAGTGGAGTCGACTTCCGTTCAATGAGATTGATTTCGGATGGGGAGAGCCTATGCAGGTTGCACCAGCATCAATGGTGTGGAATTTCGCTGTGACAATATCGCAGAGAAGGGAAAGTGGTAATATAATTTTGACATTGGGGTTTCCTGAGTCTGTCATGGAAAGATTCCGGAAGATGATGCTGTTGGAACTCGAGCAAAAATAATGCCATCCATACAATCTGTGTATTGAAGTGCCGAACTACTTAATTTATGCATCAGAATAAGAAAGCAAGTAATTCTCATAGGTGTGGGTAGTTATATTGTACGGTGTGTACTCTGCTCAATTAACAAAGTTGAGCTACCATGTTTAAAACTAAGGTTGTGAGTTTCTTGTTTCCAGATGGACAGACATTTAGCTGTGGGTAGTTGTATAGTACAATGTGTACTGTGCTCAGTTAATTAAGTTGAGCTACCATGTTTAAAACTAATGTTGTGTGTTTCTTGTTGCCAGTTGGACAGACATGATTCTCGTAAATGATACTAGAAACTCGTTTAGGCTCTTAATTAAGATTGAAGTTCAAATGGGATGATTAAAGGGCCAATTGGTAAAATGAAAAAAGGCTTAACCCCTCAAATAGCGCTTTAACTTACTATATTTAAGGTTATTAGCCTCCCCGCCTATATATTTAGGATTATGAGCCCCTTAACAACATCTTTGAAGGGAGTTGGCCCAAAACTGACGGTTTTCATGCAGTGTCATGAAATGAAATACCCGTTTCACGGGTCCTACTAGTGACACATCAACCCAATTTCAAATGGGTTATTTTTAAAATGATCCTTAAAGTTTTCAAATTTCAAAAACAATTGATCCTTAAACTTTTAAAAAATTTTGAAACTTATTTCTTTCTAATCCCCCGTGTTCTCTTGTCTTCTTTTCCCTTCTCGGCTTCTCTTCCATTCCTGACTTCTCTTCAATTCCACACTCGGTCTCTCCTATCAACACCGCATTTGCATAATCACACCCAATAGTTTTTAGCTTTATATCTCCCACAGTTTTTTTTTTTTTTTTGGCCACTTACATCTCCCACAGTTAAAGTACATCTTTGTGTGAACAACCAAGAATCAAATATTTTCCCTAAAATGTCAAATTGAATATTAAGATTATTGGTGCCAATTCAGCTTTAGTAAAAATAATTATATATTAGAGGTTAGTTGATTCTCACTGAAAATATTAATTTATCCTTGTTATATATTTTTTGGTTCATATTTATTCCTTTAATATTGATTTTAAATTAAAATTTCATAATAAGTACCAATTTTCAAGATTAATGGTGCGAATGCGTCTTCCCTTTGAGTTATCATTCCTCTAATATTAATTTTAAATTGGTACATACAACTCTTGATTTCCACCAAAAAGCAATATTTTTATTCCCACACCTATTTCCTCCGCATCCACTTGTAATTCCTTATAAGTTTAAAAAGGAAAAATTCCTAAAAAGTTAGTACTAAGAAAGAGAGACATACGATGAATCACATTCCAAGTGTTACTTGTTTTAAGAATGAATTAATAAACTAATAATTTTAATGTAGATGATATTGATGAGCTGAACAATTGAAAGAAATTTGGCTGCCCAGAAAAATAAAACATTTTTAACATCTCACCTCTAGATCTTTGAGTTCCATCCACTATCTCTCCTGTTCCCTCCCTCTGCGTTTTTTATAATTTTTAGTCAAGCTCCTAAATGAAGATGCTTGGGCTTTTGCAGGAGATGCAGTGAGGTTCAACTTAAATCTTTTTAGTTACCACCCTCCGATATCTCTCTCTTTCCTCTCAACCTTAAGAATGTTGTTCGATTATGTAGAATAAAATTATTTATTAAATATTATAGAAACACTTGGTTGGGAAAAATGGGATAGAGCTCATTTTATTTGTATATCCCTACTTATTAAAATCATGCACTTGGAGGAGATAGGGGAGAGACTCGAAGGGAAGAGAAGGCAGCAATGGAGAGGATTAGAGGAAGGAAAGAAGGTTTAAAATTTTTGAGGTTTAAGGACCAACTGCACTTCTTTAAATTTGAAAATTTTAAGGATAATTTTTTTTTTAAAGAAAACCAATTGAAATCTAACAAAATTGGTCTTATGTGTCACAAGGTGGGGCCGGTGAAACGGCTATTTAATGACTTGGTATGAAAACCGTCATTTTAGGGCCAATAATCCTAAATTTATGGGTGGGGGCTAATAACCTCAAAAACGGTGAGTTAAGGGACTGTTTTGGGGGTTAAGCCTAAAAACTGGGACTATAAAGAAAACAAAATGGCCTCACCCCACTCTCTCCAAGCTCACGCCATAGAGATGGCACTAGAGGGATCATACGGCTTTCAATTAGTCCAAGAAGGAACTGAACCCACCATTAACCCTTCTTGGGGATATATGGTATAATTAATTTAGGGATGGTCGCTATTTAATTAAAGTAAAAGGTGTTGGATTTAAGTTGTATACATGACACGAGTTGTACGAGTTAAAATCCAAAAACAGAAAAGTACATGGATCATTGCCCATCTAAAAACCAACAAAAACAGTTGAAATTTCTGGTTTAGAAACTCTGGGAAACCAATCCTTCATTTTGGTTATGCGAAATTTCCGCCTTCTGCCATCCCAACAGAATTCCCTAGTCAAACCTCTGGTGGGTTGAATTGCCAGTCTTATCATCACCTCCAAAAATTTCTTTCAAATCAAAAGGACTTTAAATACCAGAGTAATGAAATTTTTGCAATAATTCACCACTTCAATATTATGGCAAGATGTTTCAGCTTCACCGCATCCCGAGATTGGTTCTACCGGTATTCCTTCTTCAGTGCCGGCCTCCGGTCGGTCACCACCGATCTCGGTGAGGGTACCATCATGCATTGTTGGGTGCCGAAAACCCATAATAATTCCAAGCCCAATCTCCTTCTTGTCCACGGCTTCGGCGCCAATGCAATGTGGCAATACGGGGAGCCTTTACGCCACTTCAACGCCCGGTTCAACGTCTACGTACCGGACCTCGTCTTCTTCGGCGAGTCCTACACGAGCAGGCGGGACCGGACCGAAGTGTTCCAGGCTCAGTGCGTGATGAGCATGATGGAGGCGCACGGGGTGCACAGGATGAGCCTGGTGGGGATAAGTTACGGTGGGTTTGTGGGTTACAGCATGGCGGTGCAATACCCGCAGAAGGTGGACAGGTTGGTGCTGTGCTGCAGCGGTGTTTGCTTGGAAGAGAAGGATATGGAAAACGGGCTGTTTAAGGTTGCGGATTTGGAGGAGGCGACAAGCATTCTGTTGCCACAGACACCGGACAAATTGAGAGAGCTTATGCGGTTTTCTTTCGTAAAGCCTACCAAAGGGGTGCCATCTTATTTTCTCACAGATTTCATTGAAGTAAGAATCTCTTTTGGCTTAACAAATGCCTTTTGAGATGAGTGGGTATCATTTTAATGAACAATTATGAGAAAAGATTAAAACAATTTTACTACTGTTTTAAAAATTTAGATGTTTTAGTCTCTTCCATAGAATTTTATTTAAATGACTTAGTTATTTTAAAATATTTTTTTAATTTTTTATAATACAAGTTGATATTTATTTTTTAATCAAATATAAGTTTGTGGTTTTACTATTTGAATTCTTAGATCGCAAAACTAGAACTATTAAACAAAGACCATCTCCCCATGTAAGAGAGTCTCAGCAAAGTGCGAATCGCACAACATATTTCTGATTAAATATGATATTATGTTTCAAAAAGAACTGACAATAGAGATAGATTAGTTTCAGTCTGGATGAAAAAATATCACTCCAAACAATAATACCCCAAAGGTTTGGAGACAAGGAAAAGAAGACAATGCCATTAGTTATTTTTTAAATTCTTTTATTTATTTTCTGGAAACAGGTGATGTGTACAGATTATGTTGAAGAGAAGAGAGAATTGATCCGGACGATACTTAAACATCGAAAACTTTCTGATCTTCCTCATATCACGCAGGTACAGGCTGCGGTTGTTGTTAAACTATTTGATAATAAACGATACAATATAAAAGTAACCATTCATTTTCCAAAGTTGTTTGCATCTCTTTAAAACTTGAAATTTAAGACCTATAATTTGAAAGTTTTATTTCAAGCCATTTGACAATAAATCGTACAATGGACCATCTGTGCTTGCTTTCGCTATGTTAACTTATGATTTTAAGTGTAATGCTGATAAAAAGTACTAATTTATTGTTGTTCCTTTTGGGGTCTTTATAGCCTACATTGATAATTTGGGGAGAAGAAGATCAGATATTTCCTTTGGAACTAGGACAGAGATTGGAGAGGTGAAACAATTTTCTTCACTTTGATTAATTATTTGATTGTTAAATATTTATGGATGGTAAATATATATCAATTACAACTCTAAAATTTTTAAAAATACTATAATCAAAATGATGTTGTTCGGGCCATAGATAAACAAATGTCTTAAATGTTCAAAACAACTTCATTTGGATTATAGGAGTTCTAATAAATTAAAAAGTTAAAAATTATATACTCTGTACTCTAAATATATTCACATATTTTCTTTTACTAATATTTACCTCTCTTAATCATTTTTTTGCACAGGCATATAGGGGAAAGTGCGAGGTTGGTGGTGATCAAGAATGCAGGGCATGCTGTTAACCTTGAAAAGCCCAAAGAGTTCATCAAGCACTTAAAAGTCTTCCTCCTTGATTCAATTTACTCTTCTTCTTAACCTTAATTCTCCGAATGCATAATAGTTAGGGATAGAACCGAATAAGATGAATTTTTGACGAGCAAATCATGAGGTGTATCTATATTTAAGATTTTGTACAAGGCACAATATATATAGAGTTTTCACGATTAATCTTGGGTGTGGGTCTTTGCGCTACACTCCAAATAATTTGTGTTATCTCCTCAAAGCTATGCATCCCAATTTTTTTTTTCAAAACTTAGTTAAAAACTATTTCTATCTTAAAAGTCAAAATTTAAATTTCCTTTAACAAATTTTTAAATTTTTTTATAAAAAAATTTGCTTTGTAAACTTTACCAACCACTCTCCTAGTGGTATATAAATTATAGAGAATCTTGTTGAAATTTTTGATAATTTTGATTGTGTAGTTGAAAATAGCCTAAATAAATCAAAGCGATAACATAATTAGTCTAAATTCTTTCGACTTCCAATTTAGATGTGTTGAATATTAGTCTTACAATATGTTCCTTCCCTTTGGAAACTGGTGGAGAATCGGATTCAGGTTTTTTTTTTCTTTAGTCAAACAGATGTTTTGGGTCCCAATGCACTTTTCCTGCTCTGAGATTTTCCACAAATTTTCTTGTTATCATTTTCCTTTTATTTAGCATAATATATATTGAGTTTCACATTTTTCAGTTTGTATTATATTGAGATTATTAAATCACAGTACCATTAATAAATGAATATAAGAAAAAGTTTTATTAATAATATTTTAATAATTTTAGTATCTCAACTGTACTTTTAACATGTAATTATATATGAAAAACACTTTTTTGTATATATCTCCCTCATTCTTTGTTGTCCTGCTTGTAAGCTGGGCAAGGTACGTAGGATTAGCTCTCCTTGCGAAGCTAAAATGTGACTAAATCAAATGTTTCCGCCACTCCCAGTACCAGGCAAATTTGGGGATTTGCAGTGGCTGAGTTTGAACTAGAAAGGTGCTCAACCAACACATCTGTTGGTTGTCCTTTCCATTGAGCCTTTCCTCACGTAGCCATACTGGCATTTGAAGATATGGTAGATACGTTCAATCGCACAAGTATATGTAACAATAACTTTCGGAAATGTAATGGAATGAATAGTTATTTATCACCCTTTTTTCTCTACAACTGTAACAAGGCTAAACAGAAGGAACCAGTTTCTGTATATATAATGAAAGATTCTATAAAATATTTTGTCTTTGATTGCTTTTTCGAAAGGCAAAAGACTGAATTGTTTTGAACAGCATGTAGGTGTACGTACAGGGAACACAAACATCCACAATCACAAAGCCAACAGAGCCTGAGCAACACAATGAAAACAGAATCACAGACCCTATTCAGTGTAAATACAAACAGCAACGGTAAGAACCAAAGCACCAACTAGCAGAGTACTGCTGACCATCCCAAGGAAGAAAACAGAAATTTAAAGAAAACAACTTAACACAAGGAAAAACATCGCTTCCTGTCTGTCCACGCCAACTTTAGCCAAGATCATTGGCAAAGGAGTTAGCTTCCAGTCTATAGTACAAATTTCCTTGAGTAGATGTCAAATTTCTCTGAGGAAGATAGCTGTGGCTCCTGCAGATCACCGAGTAAAATCTCTTAACCAGTCTATTAACTTGTCAATCTGATTAATTGTCTATATGATTCAAATTTCCAAAAAGGAGTTTATTTCTTGTATCAGAAGTTGTTTGATGGAATTTCATTTTTGGCAGATGTATGATTGACAAAAGACAGAAGTTAAGCAAAAATGATACCTGTGGCTGCAAGCGAAACAAAGCTTTGTTAACAAGGGCTGCAATTGGACCATTTAGTTTAAGACCATTTTTAGCTTCACGAATGGCAGATCGCATTGCAGTAAGCAAGCGACCATATGTCAATCCAGGTTCATTTTGCACAGCTTGAATGAAGCTGAAAGTCATGGCACCTGTCCTGGTTTTGGTACCCGTGAAAGCCTACACAAACACAATTCAACCATTCTAAATCATTCTCTAATATGTATTTGAACTTGTGTGACAGACTGTCTGCACTTTGTACGCGTAACATTAGATGCTTTTAAAATGTTTATTACTCACAGTAGTGTCTGCACTGATTTGATCATCATCACAAGCACTAAAACATAGGGCTAGTCCACCACTTGTTCCCTTATAAACATTTGATTCGGAGCGTCTATGATCTTCCCAGATATAGTATCCCTCCCTGATGATCAAGAGTAAAACAAAAACCAAGAAAAATGGAAGATTTTCATATAAAAATTATATAGAGAAGTTTTTAAAATTAAATATATGTTCAAGCTGCGCAGAAAGATGATAAATGACCTGTTCATTCTGCATAAAAATGGCAGATCAAGCATGGTTCCACTGTAGCAGGCATCAATTATAGTATGCAGAGTTACTCCTCCGGACAGAGGTCTCACAATAGTGGCATTGATTTCATCATCAATTATCAGCCCCTCAGTCTCGTGATCTAGAGGGCATAAAGCTTCATCAAATCCATCAAGCTCATCCTTGTCATAGTCACGCTGCCTTGAGGAATGGCCTGAGTAGTGAAACACTAAGGAGTCCCCAGACTGGCAACCTTCGACTAGCCATCTCAAGGCCTTTCGAATGTTCTGTTTTGTTGGGATCTTGAAGGGGTCTGTCTCATCTTCTACACATTGATTTGCATAAGCAGTTAGACAAACAAACGATTATGCCAATATTCATTGCAAAACCTTGATATATCCAATAATGGTATTAATGAACATGAAGAAGAGGGTTCAAAACACCTGTGAGCATGAGTATGGAGTCACTAGGAAATCCCAGTGTCTGAGTCAGAAGGTACTTCATGCACTTGACATCGTTGATGCCTCCTTTGAGTCCATAACTCTTCCCCCGGTAATTAAGTCCACAAAGCAATGCCCTTTTCTTCCCGTAAGTAGAAGGGAGACTGAGCACCGGCCTTGGTGGAGGAACATCACCGGAGTTCGCAGAACAAATTGTCCCAGACGTCGGGTAGCTATTTAACCACACAAGCAGAGTAGCCTTGTTAATACTTAACACTAGCCATCACCATTTAAACTAGCTAGGGCAGGAAACGTGCAATATGGTACCTGGTCCGGTACCGGACACGATTCACGGCTCCAAACGCGTTATGGATTTGATTCCAGCGGTGGTCATAGGGTCGAACAGTTGAAATGCTTTGACACACGGCGCAGCGGATGGTTTGTGCTTCTGGTGGAATCAGAAGAATCGTTTGGCAGCCGCTGCATCTTTCTGTTCTGCTTGCCATTGCTTCGGCTTATGGGTATGGCACTATGGCTGCCACAGCTTGTTGACATATAAAAGAACGGTTGGTTTGAACATGATATAATGGAAAAAGTGGATGGATGGTGAAGCCGGTTGGATTTTTTTGTTCTTAATTATCATTTTTGGATATATTCAAATCCTTTATTGGGTGAAGAAGTGGGGAACCTAATTCCATTTACTTTTCTGAGTGGAATAGATGTCTTCTTCTTGTTCTGGGTTTGATATGATTCGTTCTCAAATGGTTTGTGGCTTTGGATATGCTATAATTCTATGGTTTGGAATTTGGATGGTTGGAGTCTCTCTAATAATTTAACGGGACTGCGAAATTAATCATATCTGATCTTAGACCTAATGTATTTAAAGAAATTAATTCATTTTTGGATGTTAGAATTTAATTATAGACCTAATTAACTTACAAGATAACACTTGTTTTTTCAACAAAATCTAACACTTAAGGTTGCATGGTAAGTGTTTGTTGAAATGCCTCACCAGTGTTCCTCTTGATTTGGGGCTTAACCCATGTCTAATGAGTCAGGACTGGAGGGACTCCTCTCCTGAAATGGTAGTGATTAATTCATTGGTTGCACTCCGAACAGGTTAATGACTTGTCAAGATGGATTTGGTGGGAAAAAAAATGGAAGCTGCAAAGCAACAAATCAAGACCATGTAGTATTAGGATTTAAGGTACAATTTTTTTTTTTCGTTTAAAAATAAATTTGGTTTTACAGAAATTTGAACAACATTGTTCATCTTTAGAATCAAGATTTTTCAGATTAACGGAAACTCTTTGTATGAAAGAAATTGTGACCAAGAAACATAGTTTTTTTTTTTTTTTTAAATCGGTACCAAGCAACATAATTATTTAGCAAATAGATTAAATATATATGAGTACAAACAGCCCTGATGGAGATGGCCAATCCGCCAATATTGTATCTTTGAAATCATCAGAAATAGGCTTGTTATCGTCCCATCCTTTTCTGGATAGTGTTAAACATCAGGAAAATTTATGATTTAACAATATTGAGTCATAGCGTGCACCTGGATGAGATTGGACAAAATAAACCTACTGTCGTGTAATCTACCAAAAAAAAGTTACGAAAATGAGAATATCATACTTTTCTCTGTCCAACAAAATGTGGCAAGTCCAGGAGAGTTCCTCTATGACAACTGACAAGAATCAACAATGGCATGGAGTTTTACAACATTCTTGAGCGGATAAACTAAAATTGAATAAAGATGACTACACACAATCATGCCTTCTTTCTAAAAATCGGATGGATATATAGTTTTGTCTAACCCATCATGTTCGTCATGTTTTTTTGGGGTACATCAACCATTAGGTGTTTGTGCTAGGCAAAGATTTTGAACATAAATCCAACCAATGTTCTTAAAACTGGACCGTAGTCATACCATTTCGGCCGTAAATTACATGTTCAATTATTGGTTAGAACAATCCCACTGAATAATGACATAAAAATAGTTTACGATGTGTTAAGTATGACTTTACATTAGCCTAACGGTTAGAGTACCTTTTGCCATCTAAGAAGATGTTGGGTTTGAATCTCCATGGTGCTAAATTTAGCTTATGATTGTAACATGTTTATAATCAACAAAATTTTTATGAAACTAATTTTTTTAATATAACACTACAAGAATGCAACTATAAAACCAATGGCCACAAAATGCTTCTAATGCAACTTTGTTAATGCCAAAAAAAAAAAAAAAAGGGGTCATGGAACCGTTTATCAATGCACCCAATAAATATTATTGCAAGCATAGTTGATGCAAATATAGTTAAAAGTTTGACAAGGTTGTTGTAAAATGATCAAATTTATAGAAAAGTAGCTAAAAGTCTAACAAATTGGTTCATGGTTCAAAGTGAATATTAGGACATGATTATTTGCATCAGCTTTGGCTGATTCATAGGCAGCTAGAAAAAGAATTATACCGCAGTTCATGTCAAAACCTTCATATATCCAATAATGATATTAGTGAACATGAAGAGGACAAAAAAGGGTTCGAAAATTAAAAACCTGTGAGCATGAGTATGGAGTCACTACGGAATCCCAGCATCTCAGTAAGAAAGTTCTTCATGCAGTTGACATCGTTGATGGCTCATTTGATCCCGTATCACTTCCCTTGGTAATCAAGTCCACATAACAATGCCCTTTTCTTCTCATAAGGAGAAGGGGGAATGAGTACCGGCCATGGTGGAGGAGCATAACCGGGATTCGGAAATAGTTTGGTCCAGGCATAGGGTAGCTATTTAACCAGACAAGCAGCCGCCTAGTTAAAACTTGATACTACCCATCACCATTTAAACAAGCTATATAAAGCAGAAAACGTTAAAATATGGTACCTGGGCCAGCCCTGTATACGATGCCAGGTGTTAAAATCGTTTTGGACTCGGTGCTCATATGGTCGAACAGTGGTAATGCATTGAATGAATTGATACGGACCGCAGCAGGTGGTCTGTGCCTCCAGTGAAACCCGAAGTAGCGCTCCGCAAGTGCTGCATATTTTCGGTCTGCTGGCCATTGCTCTCGCTTATGGGTATGGCTTTGCTTCATCTTGGTCTAGGGACAACGTTAATGCCATTAATAAAAGAGCTTTTGGTTTGAACAAGATCGGGGAAAATGTGGAATAGCAGTCAATCCGATATGATTCTTATCATTTTTGGATAAATTCGTATCCTTGAGGGAAGAAGTGGGGAGCCGGATTTCTCTTTTTTTTTTTTTTCTCTTTTTTATTGGTGGGACATCTGGGTTTTTGATATGGTTCGTTCTCATAAGGTTTATACCTTTAGGATATGCGATGTTTTCAGAATTGGATTGGATTGAGTTTGTGATTTTTTTCCCTCTTGCGTTGTACTATATTTTTCTTAAGGGAAATGATACATACACCATTTGTTAGTGTGCCGTTAAAATCAATAGTTTCCGTTACTTATGTTTTTAAAACTGACAATTTTCATTATATTTTTGTTAGAACTAACTATTTTCGTTAATTTTAACGGCACATTAATGGAAACCGTCAGTGTATAACGGAGTTTGGAGGGTGTATGTATCAATGTCCTTTTCTTAACTTGTTTTTTTATTTAAATTGAGTATAAGGGATACCAAACTCCCTTACAAGTTAGCATAGTTATTCAATGGACCATTTTTTACTCTATTTTCTTTGGAGAAAACTTTTAAAGATAATATAATCAAAACAGGATATCTGTTATTAATTTCATTCAATAAAGTTTAAGAATCCAATGAGATTTAAGACATTCTTGTGTATAGTTAACAAGAATAACACTTTAACTATAATTAGGTCTCTCAATAACAAATCAAAGATAAAAAATGGAAAGTTTTTTTTTT